TGTTTACTTCACTGTCGTTAACTTCACTGTCTAGCTCCCTTCTTCATTTTTTTTTGTGCCTGCTTCTATTTCTATGCCCCGTGTAATATATATACACACATATCTATGCATAAAATACCGACTACAATCGCTGGTGTCTTCTTTGCTTACCAAGTAGTATAACTACTTAAAAGAAAATTACCTGCTGTACTAATGTGTTAATAATAATTTCAAAATCGATTTGATATCTTCTATTATAACAGATGTTATCCTAATAAGTCTTACTTCTTCGTCCGTATGTTTATCTCTCTCTCTCTCTTTCTCTCTCTCTCTCTCTCTCTCTCTCTCTCTCTCTCTCTCTCTCTCTCTCTCTCTCTCTCTCTCTCTCTGTGCCTGTCTCTTTTTTCTCATTCTGTCTCTCGCTTGAGAAGGGCTAGCCATCTGCCAAGAGCGTCACACGAAGTATAAACTATGGAGCTCCAGTGACTCCTTAAGAGATCTAATTAACTATTGTACACATGAACCAAAAAATACAGTCAATGAAACAAACCCAAGACCTTTACAGCATCTAGGCGAATGGCTTAACCACATATCCAAGTCGGTGCCCCGCGTTTCCCGAAATTCACCAGATTTGACTTGATTGCACCAGGTTTTATCCCTCAGTGCTCGGTCTCTCTCCAGCGGCCAGGTCTCTCTCATCAGAATTGCTAGCATTCTGCCTGCGTGGCACAAAGCACGAGCTTCGTAACTCAAGTCACGAACCCCAGATATCACCCAGAAAATTGCCACCGAACCATACAATTAGTAAAACGAACGCACACTTTCAGGAAGCATGTTTGCTTAGAAGTAACAAATAAACAGCATACTCTTTCTTATCTCTGACAGGTTCTTTATGTCAAAGCGCAGGAATCAGATGCCAACAGGAGGTTAAAGAAAGCTAGAAAAGCTAAAGCTAAAGCTGACGCAGCAGCTAAACAGACTGTACAGGTATTTAGGTCAACTCTGGACGAGGATGTGTCTCCAAATGGCAATAATGGTGGAGGCAAGACTTTCAGCGGTGATGAGGACGACGACGAATACGACGATAACGTTCTTATTGATGATGAAGACGATATGAGTTTCCATGAAACAGAATCGGATAGGAAAAGTGTTGACTCGGCAACTGAAGTCAAAGAAAGCCTGCTGGAAAATGGGCCAACATCTAACATCGCTATCATGAACAGAAGCAACCATCATATTCAGGGTATCCCCAACCATGTTCACACAATCAGCATAAAACCCATTCGACCAATTCAGCCAAATGGGATTGGTCACTCGCAACCATTCTCTTACACAGAAGTTAGCACCCATTTACTGAGAACATTTTCAAGAGTTTCACTTGATGGTGTATCTACGTGCCTACCCAGTGAAGTAAAGGCACTTCAAAACGCGACCAATCCCATGTTGCATTCACATGCTCCACATCTTCCTTTACATTCGATGAAAGACAACCACCAGCACCAACATAGTCAACCAAATCATCACCCTCATCATCAAGCTAACCAGCTTCTTCAACAAGAGAACAAACAACATCAAGAACCGGTGTCAAAGTCTCGATCTTCATCATCGCCACCTCCCATTTTACCTAGGAAACCGTTCACCCTGGAACAGCAGCAAATACTTCACAAGCCAGTTCCCCCAGTTCCTCCACACGAACCAGCGTTCCACCGAAAGGGAAACCAGTATCCTGTTATCACGCACAGTCCAGAGATTGAGCAGGACAACAATGCTGCAGAACACGGCAGAGAGGACCACACTTGGTCAGTTTCCGTTGGTGTCGACATGGGAAACAACAATGCCAGAGATTCTATCACTAAACCCCCCGCGGATTCATCCCATGAACGAGACGTCGACTCTGGGGTGTTCTCCACCCGACGAGAATGTGAACATTCAGAATCTGACACCCGTAAATTCACGATGTCCAGAGATGTCAGTTTCGACAAAATCTCAGAATCCAGTTCCGTCCTTCAAGACTTAGAAGTTAAAAGAGTAGTAGATGAACTATCTCGCACGGACGCAAACCACGCCTACTTCCGTTCAATCATTTACATAATGGCACTATCATTCCATGGAATTTTTGAAGGTATGGCGCTTGGTCTTCAAAGCGTCAAAAGCAGTGTCTGGGCTCTGTGTTTCGCTATTGTCGTTCATCGCTGTGTGTTAGCATTTAAATTAGGAATGGATCTATGCAGAGGCGAAGAAAAGCAAGGTATGACATTTTTATGTATAGGAACATTTCACCCTCATCTCCACGTTAGGAATCATCACAGGAATTCTCATATCGTCTGGTGCATCGTTGTATTCAGACGTGACTGTACCCGAAGCCATTCTACAAAGTCTGGCAACTGGGACCATATTTTACATCGTCTTCTTCGACATTTTCTTTAAAGATATGGAAGGTAAAGATGACTTAAGAAGAGTATCGTGTTCATTTGTAGGTTTCTCTTTAATGGCGATAGTTTTCGCAATAACAAGAAGCTGAAAGCTGCTACAGTTGTACATAGCCAGACATATATTTATATTTACAGAAGCCTAGCCAGCGCGCAGGTTAGAAGGCTGCCATTTTCTGCTTTAACATTAAGCATTCTACGTGTTATCATTCCTCTTGTACTTTGCAAACAAGGGCTGGAAATAATTCTGTCGTGTCCTTTGTATGTTTTAAGAAATCGCAGTTCTCAATGGCCTTATTATCTGAAGCGGTGTGAAGACGTGGGGTATTGAAAGAAGTAAAAACAACAGACCAGGGATAAACCAGATGCCGTTATCGCTGATATGGAAAAATGCTCGCATTTTGGACAGGACAGACAAGAGCAGACAAACTGCAACTGTTACCGATATGTTGACATTTGTTTCTTTTCTTTCAAGGATTACCACTTTAACTTGCTGGATTATTGAGGTCATGCAGGTCGGTAAGACCTTTTAAGACAACAAATTTATTTGAATAAATTCATGCTATAACAAATGTATGGTGGAGTTTTCTAGTGACTCTTTAGTACTGTACTAAAGGATCTATTGCGTATACCTCTCTAAGAGGTGTTTTGCTTTTTTTAAAAACGTGAAGGGAGCTAGATAGTGAAGTTAAAATAGATGGGGAAGACATTGGGAGAGCTACAAGCCATAGCAAAGAATAGAACGACTTGGAGTGAGTTGATTGAGGGCCTATGCTCCATTGGATGTTAGAAAGGCAGAAGAAGAAATAAGGAGAAGTAAAAAGCATGCTTTACTGGGTTCGAATCCTCGTTAAGGCTGTAGAAACAGAACCTTATATCTCCCTCGACACCCACAGCGGTAAAAGATGAAGTGAAGAAGAAGAAGAAAGAGCATGCAATTATGCGTATTTGGCACCTAGGATATTTTCAGGATCAATCGGCACTTGGTAGTTGAGCTGAGCTGATTCAAGAACCGACATCACAGCATTCGGGGCATTCCAATGAGCGTCTCGTAAACATTATGCCGGTCGCCTTTACTTCTCATAACTTCACCTGTTCACCATTTAGGGCTGAGCTCGACCTGGGAGCCAAGGTCATTTTTTAAAACTCTTCGGCTCTGTCAAGACTTGAACTCATGACCTAGCTACATCACTACGGCGGTACCCATGTTGCCTTAAAATTTAGATAAACTTTAGATCGGAGAACAACCGGTCCTCCGTGTGCTTGAGAGGACCGGGGGTGGGGGGGGGGGGGGGGGGGGGGGGGGGGAGTGGGGGGGGGGGGGGGGGGGGGGGGGCGAGGGAGGACCAAGTGTAACAATAAGGAAACATAATCAATAAGCGAGAAATATATCGAGATAGAGTATAGAGAAACTGAGAGAGGCTAGATGGGAACAGAAACAGTATGTATATGTTGGTGTGTTTATGTATGAGAGAGAGAGAGAGAGAGAGAGAGAGAGAGAGAGAGAGAGAGAGAGAGAGAGAGAGAGAGACAGAGACAGAGAAATGACATGTGTAACATAGTTGCCAACGGGTGTTCACTAACCGAGGGATCACTAAAATAGAAAAAAAAAGTGGGTTGTGCGGGAGCAGTGGAATATGGTTATTAACGAGGAAACTTAAGCTGGGGGAGTTAGGGAGGGGGGGGGGAGATAGTGGAACATAGATGTCAAACAGGAAATTTTAAACAGTGAGTGAGAGAGTAAGAGAGAGAGAGAGATCAGAGAAGATAGTTGTCTTGGAAGGAAGATTGGGCGAGAGAGTGGGCGGGAGAAAGACCAGAGATACATCTTTATCAAGGAAATAACATAAACAATATGTGAGAGCAGGAGAAAGAGACCATAGGAAGATAGTTGTCATTGAAGAAGAAAATGTGAATGCGTGTTTGAGAGAGAAAGGTAGAGAGACCCGGAGAACATATTTGTTATGGACGAAGCATTGGGGATGAGAGAGAGAGATAGCGAGAGAGAGAGAGAGAGAGAGAGAGAGAGAGAGAGAGAGAGAGAGAGAGAGAGAGAGGAGAGAGGTTTAGAGAGAGAGAGATTTATGGTAGACGACTGTCAATGGGAGTACGGGAATATTGAGAGAGTAAGACGAGGAGAGAGGAGTTTCAAGGGTTACTAACGCAACTGTGTGAGAGAGTGAGGAATATTGAAACATTAGAAAGACCAGGAGGGCAAAACACTGTGTGACAGAGTAAGACAGACACCAGACAGACAGACAGACAGACAGACAGACAGACAGACAGACAGACAGACAGGACAGACAGACGACAGAACAGACAGACAGACAGACAGACAGACAGACAGACAGACAGACAGACAGACAGACAGACAGACAGACAGACAGACAGACAGACAGACAGACAGACAGACAGACAGACAGACAGACAGACAGACAGACAGACAGACAGACAGACAGACAGACTAGGCGAACATCTTTATCAAAGAGGTAAAATAAATAAGAAAGTTTTAGAGAGAGAGAGAGAGAGAGAGAGAGAGAGAAAGAAAGGGGGAGGGGGCGATAGAGACTGAAGGCATTTAGTTGACCCGGAGGAAACACTAAAAGAGTTAGATCGAGAGATAGAGATAGAGAAAGGAAAGATCATAGTCAAACAGGGTATACAAAGTGAGAGAGCGAAAGAGGGAGAAAGACAAGAGGTTCATATTTATCAAAAGGTAATCACTAAAAAGAGAGATACCAGAGGGAAAAAGTCGTCAGGTAGGGGGTACCGTGAACGAGAGTAAGAGAGAGAAATAGAGAGAGAGAGAGAGAGAGAGAGAGAGAGAGAGAGAGAGAGAGAGAGAGATAAGAGAGAGAGAGTAATTATGTGTCAAATAGAGAACATTCAGTGAGTTAAAAGAAAGAGACTAAAGGAACTAAGTTATCAATCAGTGAATAAAAAAGAAAAATTTTAAAGAATCAAGCTGTCAAATAATAAAGACTCACAGAGGGAGAGAGAGAGAGAGAGGGAGAGAGAGAGAGGGGGGTGTGGCTGAGTGGAAAAGTGTCAAATTTTAATAGTGAGAGGGAGAGAGATAGTCAGGTGATCATAGGTGTCAATGAGCGAATACGCAGAGAGAGAGAGAGAGAGAGAGAGAGAGAGAGAGAGAGAGAGAGAGAGAGAGAGAGAGAGAGAGAGAGAGAGAGAGAGAGAGACCAAACGAACAATTGTGTCAAGGAAGGTACATAAACATTAAAAAAAAAAAAAAAAACTATTATTAAGATGTGTACAGGAGATTGAATTACTTTTTCTGAAGTCTGTGCAGAAACAAGTTATGATATTTAAATATCTAGGATGTGTGATCAGGGAAGATGGTAGAACTGACAGAGAAATAGAAAGCAAATGTCAATAGTAGTAGTACATTTCACCCCATTAGGACATCACACAAGCGATATACACCCGATGACAAAAAGTGCCACCACGTAGACGAGGATCACCTGTGGAGAGGTCCCAGAAACCGCGTTCAGCCATTGGACCATATTTATGGCCGGGCTATATTGCGGCCCCTGGCAAGAGCCACGGTGGCGTGTTAAAATAAAGTAAAATTGCACTCCACAAGGGAATGACAAAGTATACAAATGTCAGAAAGCAAATGCGCTTATATACCTACCAGTTGTCACCATTATTAAGACAAGATTCATAGAGAAACAGCAGATCAACAATGCCATGTCACAAGCCAGTATCGGCCAGCGTGCACCGCATCGCAAATGATTTCTCCTTGCATCGCTTAGCGACAGAAGTGATTTATAATGATGATGATGATGGAACGTCTTTCTATTCACGCGCATTAGGCAGTTTAACTCTCTTTATCAGCGGTTCTTAACCTGAGGATCGTGACCCATTCACAGGGGTCGCTCAAGACTGTTGTACACTTTGTTGTACACTCTGTTGTACACTGTATCTTCAAGAACCAAGTATTTAGGCCTAGGGTGCCTATTCAACATTCCGCTGGATATCTCCTTGATGGATGTGCTACAGTGAAGTCCTGCATACTATAACTAGCACACTTGACACAGCATCATCTAATACAAGTCAACAATAACGCTTGTGACAGGCCACATGAACTTTAATGGCATTACAGTTACACGTCACAAGAGGATGATGATTATTCAATAAAACATGAACGATAATAAATCTCTATTATCTACTCTTATGATATACAATCTTTCTCAATGGACTCCTGCCATTATAAGAAATAAATAGACAAACTGTCTCCCGTAAGCAACGGTTAATCCAAACCTCACAAAGAGGGAACGTCCGACTTGGACAAGGGAAATATCTTGGCTGCAGAATCCTTTGTGTTCCGCAGGAGCCTTTGTGTTAATCACCCAGAATTCAATTAGCTCGTATCCCAGGTAACGACCCGACCCGTGGCCGCTGTGTGAACTTTTCACCTGTCCTGTGACAACTAGAAGAAACTAACTCTTGGCCAATAAGATTACAACAAAGACCAGCAGAAAACACATATTTATTAAAGTTATGAATGGGTCCCCACAACATGAAGAGAACTATATTATAGGGTCGCGGCATTAGAAAGGTTGAGAGACATTTTTCTATATTGTTTTCATTGTCTTTCTATAATTCCGCTTTTCTGTAGTAGCTTCAATATAGTTTTCAAATGATCTGCTGACTCTCCGTGATTCACTGCTATACACAACGGTTGACTTCACATAGCCTTTAAAAACACTCTTACTAAAATTGATAGACATAGAGGAGCGGCTGGTAGAATGGTTAATGACGATGGACTCCCCTGTAGGAGATCTGGGTTCGAATCCTCGTTAAGGCTGTAGAAATTGTTTTCTGACTGGGTAAAACAATGAAAACACAACCTGCACAGTCCGTGGCGACAGCACTAGCTATGCGGTCCTAGTCCTCGGCTCAAGGATTCCCTTGCCTACAATGCAAGTAGTAAATACGAACAGTGATCGCGAAGTAAGTATGTAAAGTAAAAATCGCTTTTCACGCCTTTAGACGCACCAGGCATATAGGAAGAGAACTCATATTTTTACAGATCAATCGGCACTGGTAGGTAATGTGGTCAGCACCTCCC